TTAAAATTTAATAACAAAAAGGAATGCGTTAAACTATGAGGAAATAAAGATTTCAAAACATAAAAGGAATGGAAAGAAATCCTAAATAGTAGGGGAGTAATTAATTATCTATTCCTAAATATAAGAAAAATAATTAAAAATTTATTTTTAGATATTAAGAAATATTAAATGACTTTGTCATCTAATGTGAAATCAAATTTTAAAGGGTAAAAAAGGCGAACGACATTTGGCTAAGGCCTTCGCACAAGTATCTTGATTGTGTAAAAAACTTTTACACCATTATTGCATAAATAATGCAAAGTTTAATACTGCAAAAGAAAATTACACTAGCTGTAAGATACTATATTAGTAATAATACAAAGATTGATAAGAGATGATACCAGAATTTAACATTCTTGTCTCTACCAAACAACCCCTTAACATGGGCTGGCCAACTGAGTCACTTATCAACATCATCAAGAACATAGAATCAATAGCCGTGATGGCTAACCCCTAATCACAAGGCATATAATTCCAAGATTTCAAGACGACAAAGGACTGTGTTCCTCTTATCCAAAATGGTGGGTAACATGTTGCAAGTTGCAACCATAAAAATAAAGCTGTAAGTTTAATGACAATTTAACGTATTAAAATTGCTCATTTCTTGGACAAGAGTCCTTAAATCCTGTTCTACACCCTTGGAGAAAACATGTATTCCGCTCCAAGTCTGGTATACAGAAAATTTGCTACAACTCTCGCACTAGCAAAAGGTTAACTAAGGCATCTCAATATGGTAAAAATTGTGAACATTCAGGTAAGCATCTGATAGATAAGTGAATAGCATAGACAAATCCTATGTTAATGCCGTTCAAGTTTGGGGAGATCTGCAGGAAATAAGGCATTGAATTGACCAAAAGGAATTAGTTTTGTTTAGTAAACTTTGTACGATAGAGATCAAGGGGAACATACTCCACAGTCACTGTCCGGTCATCAAACAGTCGCCCATGTAAACAATGAGCAGCCATGCATGCAGCTTCTGCTCTTCTAAACTCCACAAGTACACAGCCGGGCTCAAATACATCATTAACAGAAATTTTAGTCTTTTCCTCAAGTTTCTCTCGAGCATCCAACTCTTCTTTCGACGAGAATTCTGGTTCAAAAGCTCCATCTACATTTCCATTGTCTTCCTCTGATTTCATTGCTTCCTTAACTGGTGATTGATCATTTATCTCAAAATGTTCAACTGGACTAGAATTAGAATCTTCATCTTTCCTTTCCAAAACTATAGCAGTATTCTTTTCATTTGGAGAGATTCCAGGAGTAACCTCGGAATTTTCTTGGCAGCTTGTCCCTCGATCGGACACATTACCATCATTGGGTAGAGGATCAGAAGTGTCGTCTTTTATTAGCTCCTCATAAGGTCCATCATTAGAAGGACTGCCACCAGCAAAAGCATCATCGACATCTCCAGCCTCCTCTTCGGAGTCACCTTTTAAAGGTTCTGACATCTGAGTCTTACCATCAGTGCATCTTTCAGCTTCCTCAGCGCTATTGGTTTCCATGGGTTCTTCATCGCTGTTGGGGAGATGTGACCCACCAACTTCCAACTCGTGATCAGAGCTCTTAGGGAATGGATCAATTTGGTCACACTCTTTAGCAAACTCCATATTGTCCTCATTCAACGTAGGACTAGTGTCCATAGCAGCAGGATCAGATGTGAGAGAACATTGACTTTGCTTTACAACATTAATTGATTTAACAGTGCCAAACCTACAGCATCAGAAGAACATTTTCCAGATCAGTGATGAATTGACAAGGAGAAATAAAAGCGATGACGTTAAGAAAAAATGACTTTTCATAAATGACCTGGCACACTCCAATCTGATGTCTTCCAATAACTCTTCAACTTCTGCTTCAGACAAAAAAATGAGTACATTTGCATCCACCTGGACAGGACAAGACAATTAGAGGAAAAAATCTAGAAACCCCGTGATAAGTGGATTTGCCACATCTAAGAAATATAATTCCAGTAATATATGGAAACAAAACCACGTCTCAATACCGAGCAAATTGGAGTTGGCCACCTGACTCAAATTACATGTAGCTCCATTTAAGCCCGTCTCCATTACAATGTTGTAAAATTTTAGTTTCTCTAGCACTAGAAGTTCTCTACAATTTCTAATAGTATCAACATTTTTACTGGCATAACAGACAGTATTTTTTTTCTTATGGAAAATAAAATTCAAACTACACCAAGATTAAAAAACAGACATACCAGATTTTTCAGCTTCAGAACTTCTGTGGGCTTCTCCAGAAGTGGCTTTGCATGCTGGGGAATCCGGTATAAAGGTGTATTTTCATCTTTGTCCTGAGTATTATGTGTATCTTTTGGTCAAATTTGTATTGCCAAGAATAGATTAAAATTGTACCTAAAGCCAAAATTTCTGGATAAGAGGACTTGAGAGAGTACCAGTAAAACAGTATCTGGGACAGCTTGAACAACAGTTAACACTTTTCCACCCAACTTCATACCATTAAGACCAGCACAAGCTTTAAGAGTAACTGAATGGTCAACATACTGAAATGGTTGAAATAATTACTTTTAAGATCAATAAAAGACGCAAGAGTTGAACTTGGAGAAGACTTGAGAGTTCACAGCACTTGAGTCAAGGAGAAATACAAAGGGACGGAGAGGCTCAAGATGTAACAAACCAAGGTATCTAGCTCAACAAATTTAAGCAATAGCATTCCATAATTCAAAGCATGGTCATAAAATACTATAAAAGGAATACTCTACATGCAATGAAAATGAGGTCAAGCATATAAGAAGTTTGTGCGGTGCATCAAGTATGGCAAGTCACTTTTGGCACTAAAAGAATTTTTTATTCATTGGGAATCATTTCTTCCCTCACTCATTGACACAAGCAGCACTATTCTCTAAAGCATTAAACATCTCTTGTAAAATTGTAAAGCTAGAGATCTAGGGTCATTCATTCTCAAATCTTGAAAGGGACGAAGAGAGTGTGCAAAGTGCTCTGCAGTGTCCTCTGCAGATTATTGGGAAGGAAAGGAATTGAAGAGATCTGATGGCTAGAAAATTTGATATGAATAGTTAAAAGCTCCTCTACTCTTTTTGATTTATTTTCGTGTAAAGGATGATACTTTTTTTTATTGGCCGTGTAAAGGATGATATATTTGGCACACACTGATTGAATTGGTCTGTAAGCCTACACCTGGATCTGAATCAGTATTGGTTGTTCTAGAGCAACTGTACGGCAGCTGGTAAGAGTTTTCGCTCGTCTGTCAAAAAAATTACTTACTCGTCCTATCTTTAGAGAAGCAAAGTAGCAGAATTAGAAGAGAAAATTTAAAATAAAAAAAAAGGAGTTCAAAGGGGATAGCATGCCTTTACATGCTAACAGTGGTAAGTCATTTTGTTTGGCAAGATAGAAAGAAAAGCAAGCAGAAAGGACCACCAACTTTTTAAACATGTAAAAAGAACTACTTTTTGTTCATTCACTCTTCCACCCAAAGAAGATTGTTGAAGAGGAATAAGATCTAACTTCTAGTAAGATGATAATTTGCTCGTTTTTTTTACCACTCGGTACTTCCAATAATTCACTCCAACGAAAAATAATCTTAGCCAGAATTAAGACTCCGCTTGTTGCATAAAAGCTACCTTTGCCATAAGGAAAGAACATTTCAGAAAAGAAAAGGACACTTAATTTAATATGAGAAAGATGTATCCAATAATTCGAGAGTACCTCAAGAAATGCACAAGGTTCATTGATATCTGAATTCATCCTGAAATGGTAGGCTTTCAAAGGTCCAAAAGCTTTAGCAATCTCCATAAGCTGAAATAGCATCAGATAAGATCAAATTCACTGGAAAGCCCTATATTCCATTGTTCTTTCTTTTTAATTAAGGAAAGGTTTTGAGACATTATTTGGCCTTACCATCTCCGATGAAATAGTTCTTGAAATTCCACCAACAAAAATCTGCAACGTGTATAAAAACTTGTTATTGAAAGGGAAAGGAAACAACAGGAATGGAACAGACTTGAAAATCTGAAAAAACAATAATCAGATAGAAAATACAAAATGGTCAAATTTCGAAGAACTCGTTTGTGGAAGCCAAATTAAACAAAAAAATTCTGAAGTTCACAAATATGACCTGTCAAAGAGTTGAGGCAAAGGCCAACAAAGAAAGTAAAGCAATCCAAATGTAACGTCCTCACAATCCCACAGGATTCAAATGAGAAGCTTTGCATCTAGTCTTAACAGTTAGGGAACTTTCATACGTCAACACCTTAAGAATATTGAAAGCAGATATCATAATCTATAACCTCACAGTCCAATATATAATTGAGCCACTTGAGATTCCTGTGTTGTAAAGTAGCATAGAGCAGCTGGAACGTTGCTTTCTGTCTATGCGAGTCTCGTATACAAGATACATATAAGTGCAGCGCACAGAAAAAATTATTGGTATAATAGTCTCAACTCTCAAAGCTATTGTTCCTATCCTAATCGTTAGGTCATCAAAATGTGTATCCCAGTTTCCTAGAACATAGGCTTTCTTCAGTATCTATTACCCTTTTTTTGGGTGGGGTGGGGTGGGGGTCAAGATAAGCATTTGATGTTAAACCAATTTGCTGTCGTACACATCATTTTCATAATACAGTTAGAAATCATCTAGACAAGACATTGTTTCTTGTTTACACCAAAGTACAGCGCAAAAAAAAAGAAAACCGTAACCGCAATAAAGGACTTACTTACCCTTCAAAAGTTAATTCCATTCCTTTCTCAAAATTTAAGCTAACATACAAAAAAACTGGCTTTCCTACATTATATTTTAGAACACCTAACTACAATACACAAGAGCTCAAGCTAATGAAAAGTAAACTCTTAATATACAGTAATAGCCATTTTTCAACTCTTAAGTAGTCCTGCTAAATCAGAGAGATCAAACAAACTGAAACTGACAAGAAACTTATTAATAGCATGAAACAAAGAGGAGATTCATATTTATCACAAGGAAAGGACGATAGGCATTCCAAGTACAAGGACGACACATGGCATAAGTGTATGCCGCTTCCAGTTCTGACAGGCAGGTTTAAAGGTCAAATCCTTTGTGTTGTTTCAGATGCATACCTTATAAGGAGAATCCTCCACAATGTTGTCTATCCTATCAGCTGCAGCAACCGACTTCTGAGGAACACCAGTCTGCATGAAAATAGCAACTGTCTGAAAA